CAACAACAAGAATAGATTTGCAACTTTGATTTCTTCACTCCGTAGTCATTGCTGTAATAAATCAAATTATGATCCTTTTAAAATAATTTTTAAAGATATTTTCGTCGATAATTTATAAATTAAATGATTCGTTTGTATGATCCTTTTGATATTTCATCTCGTTGAATGTCTCAGTGTGACACAACACAAATTTTTATTATTCATCTTTATTTATTAACAATCTTTCACGATATNAAAATAATTTTTTAAAATATTTTCGTCGATAATTTATAAATTAAATGATTCGTTTGCATGATCCTTTTGATATTTCACCTCGTTGAATGTCTCAATGTAACAACACAACACAAATTTTTATTATTCATCTTTATTTATTAAGAATTTTTCACGATATACATACACATCATAACTATTTGCAACATTACTTTCATGGAAAATTGTTCCCAAAAGATAGAGTCGGATTACTGGACAACAGGCGAAAGTGAGAATTACATGAGAAGCTGGGAAAGAGAATCTGCTGAAAGTAGAGTTGAAAATTATTTGATGACGGTCGATTTTTCCTCAAGAAGCAAGTAGATTTACGTAAACAGTCTTGAGGCGATTGATAGCTTTTCGCAGTTTCCGTATACAACATAAAAAGTATTGAAGCAGGTAATATGCAATAAATAACAAGTGATAAACAACACACAAACCGTAAGCAATTGACAATGATCAAGCAAAATATCACAGTGAAACAAACGAAATACGCCGACGAAACGTCGAAATAATTTTCGAACAAACGTAAAGGAAACAGAACGAAATAAATTGAAGTAACGTTTAAAAGGAATTAAGCAAAAAATTAAAATAATTTTCGCCTCGTGTTCACAACGTGTTTGTAATGCGCATGGCGTGTGTTCAACGCGAACGGTAAGTCACTCTCTATAACTTGTCCACGACGTTGTTGTTCTGCTCGATCGGCCATGCCAACCTCCCAGTAGTGTTCCGGAGTTAACGGTTATGTTTCAAGTGCTCGATGACGACTCACCTTAAATGAAATTCAATTTGAATCAATAGTTTATTGATATATAAAAACAGTTGAATTACTTTTGGAAAACAGAAAAATGATTTGTTCGAATTCAAACAATTTCTCCACGGAAATCTAGGCAGCTGCTGTTTGATAATACAACAGGCTCCGTAAAATACTAAACTTAGCTATTCGGTACCGTGGCATTTCTTTAGCTGAGGGGCTATACGCGCGAGCTGAAGATACTGCGAGGCTAGGCATTGATACTGTGAGGCTACGCATTATCCCTCGGCGTAGTAGACATACCCATCCGCCGATGAGGCTACGCATGGGCGCCCCGCTGTGGATTCATCGACGTGCATATGTCTATGCGCGTGGTTCAGCCCCTGAGCTAAAGAAATACCGAAATTTTAATAGTAATCACATGAAAAGGAGTAAAACTAATAACAAGAGGACAGGTAATAAGAATAAGAACAAAGGTATTGAAAAAATAACGATACAGTTGATAGTGGTGTAATTAATATTGATGTGAATTTATTTGAGTTTGAGGGAAGAGAAACACAACAATATCCTCTATCAGCAGTCACCAAAAGCTGATCAGAAACGCGAATTCGATTAGCGTAAAAGTTTTTTTAGTTGGCAAAGTAACAGCGAATTTGGAAAAGAGCAGAGAAATCAACAATGAAGTAGTTTAAGGTGCAGCGACTTTTGCAATTTACAACTCCATTTTAGGGGATAGAAAAGGAATATATTTCTTGATTGTCTGGTTTTCTTGCGAATGTAGTATGTAAGCGTTCAATCGCACGATTTTAAAACATTTTTTATGAGTAAGTTGCACCAGTTACTAAGTTTCGGAGAGTTTTCGAGGATTTGGTTTTTTTTTCGATTTCTGGTCTTCATGATCGGAAATTCGATGCATATGTGCACTCAGGATCCTTTGCAAGAGATAACTGCATTCCGAAAGGAAGGATGGACGATCCTGTTACAAGAAGTCATTTTTTCGCTGTTACGATTATTTTACCTTTTAGGCTGCTTCATAACTACGTGTCACTCTATGGTGAGGTGTGAGCGTATTTGGCCGTGTAACTGGTCATACACCCGGGTAGTGATGGGCTCCTAGCGAAATTTCGTTCGGTCGGAATCCGACCGAATTGGCATTTCGGTGTTCCGACAGTCGGAATTTCGACCGATTTTCCGAACTGTTCGGTTGAATTCCGACCGAATTCGCGTTTCGCTGTTGTGATAGTCGGAATTCCGACCGGATGGGCGTTTCGCCGTTTCGACAGTCGGAATTCCGACCGAAATTATCGGATTTTTCCGACCGACTGTCGGTCGCATCCCATCACTAGTTGGTAGTATAATCATTGTAACCGACTGCACATTAGTGACAATAATCAGAGCAGGATATTGCGGTGCATTAAATTTGCGCTCAGGCTTGGGCTGAGGTTTACACCGAGGAACCATCTATTTGTTTGACCGATACCCCAGCCCAATTCGACAAGATTAGGTACTTGCTTGACACATTAATCGCCATTAATTTCCTGTGCTTGCTGAATCATTCATTTGAAAGGCATATTTTTGCAATGGAATTTTGAAACGAAACTGCGAACTATCTCAGCGGTACGAGCTACAGTATAGATAATTAAATATGTTGCGAGCTTGAGGAAGTGCGAGAATGCTGTTATCTGATGCGTTTTGTATTCGTCGGAGACATTGTTTTTTGCATATTCGACTAATAATTAGTTTTTCGGGGCTGTTGTCAAAATGGATGCGTGTAATTATAGTTGATGCCGATTTCTTGGTTTTTCAGTCATGTTCTTATCGTTTATTTGATTTTTTTGTCCTTTTCACTGGTTGTGTTGACTGTGAAATCGATATGTTACGATCGACACGTGTGTAGAAGCTTACCTAGTTCCGCGTCTATCTACTTTTGGGTTTAGTTAGAGCTGATTCCTAAATTTGATTTTATTTGTGCTCAGTATCATCTTGATAAAATCTTGCCGGTGGTTTTTTCTGTTTTGTTAATGAACGACACTTCCAATTGGCGATTTTTTTTGAAGGATCCGCTTTATTTGTGGGATATTTCTGTAGCCGTTTTATTGCGAAAAATATAGGTTTCCTCTTATTCCCTTTCTTTTGTAGTATCAGGGTGTTTTCATTGTGCAATTCCTACTTATTGTTGTGCATCCTATTAATTCATATGATATGCAGTGGTCAGAACTGTTCTAATTTCTGTGATTAAACCAATAATGGAACAGTTCAATTATTGTGAATTATGGATTTTTTGTGGCTGCTAGATGAACCTTGGCATGCTCATGAAATGCTTGATGAATATGATGGTGATAGTCATAGAAATATGTGGAATACTAAGACTTCAATTAGCAGCTTATTTCAGCTTAACGTGAGAAGCATATACGCATTACGTAATCATTTGAGTGTTGTTGCGACTGTTGTGACAGTCAAGAACGGCACGGCAAGCTCACCATCCAGTTAGAATCAGCTGTTGCCGAAACGTTATGACTGTCACGACTTTAGGATATACGATGGTAATTTGTGGAAACGCTGATGACCTACAACATAGGTATCGGGGGCGAATTGAAAAGCATGTTTCATTCATATTTGTTTTGTTTTGTTTTCTACAATTACTGGTCGTCAAGTACTCATTTTTAATCCATAGCACAATAATGAAATTCGGTTAGGAAAAATTTTTAATCAGTTTGAAAAAGTTTTCCATCTTTGAGATAACCATTCATTTTGCTGTTCAGAACTGGAATATGCTTCATTCGTCGCATATGATTGATATGCATTCAGTATCATTTGTGAATACACTATTAGAAGTTTTAGAGTTGATAGAAATAATTCTTGTTAGTTATTTATGTGTTTTCATTATTGTAGAGTGAAGTTTGGAGTGCCAATTCAGGAGGCGTTCGCACATGATATACCCGCCACGTTGTTAGTAAGTTTATTTTTGGTATTAGTTTATCACTTTCCACATGAGTTATTGCATTTTTGGTTTTTTACTCACTTACTTGTCTGATTGCAAAGGCTCGCTTTTCGTTAGTTTGGTAGCATTTTTGCTCTCTTGTATTGGTTTTATTAAATGAAAATGGTTATAGTATTATCCGTATTGTTATTTGTTATTATTTATTATTATTAATATTGTTATCATTTTTGTTATTATTATTATTATTATTATTATTAATTTTCATTATTCATCCATTGTAATAATTAAAGGTGTTATTACTGAAAGTTAATAAAGATGGACCATCAAAGAAAGACATTTGGCGAGCGCCAGGCAATCAAGCTCAAGTGCGGAAATTATCGCATATCATGCAACATGGACGTCTTGTAAATATTGCCAATTTTAGCGTCTATACAGCTGCATCTGTTATCAAGGTAATTATTAATCGTTTGTGGGCATGATAAGATTACGTGTTTGCAAGCTCAATTAAACACTTTTGCAGTGTGCTCGAGTCATTCTTATTATTATTATTGAAATCAGTGTTGTTGTTGTCATTTGTGATTGCTGTGTTGTCATACTTTCGATAAATGTGGTTGAAGAATAACGATTACTATTTATAGAAGGTGGTATTGGGGAGAATGATTTGGAAAAATCTTTCATTTCTATCGCATTCGTTTAAAATAAAGTTGCCTTATCAGAATCTGAGCATCTATCACGTGTCGTTTCTTTAATTTTCAGAAATTTCTCTCAAAATTACCCGGTGGAATATTTGGCTTAGCTAATGAGCAAACGCTTTTCAATTTGTTCAGCCATGGCGGCGTTGAAACACAACGTCGGGTTTTTTGCAGGTTTGTTGAAGCTTCGTTTTCTATGGGTACATTTTATCATCGTGAAAATAAATGCGCTCATGTTGCTATCATACATATGAAATGGAGTATGTGTTTTGGTGTAATTCAGTTAAGTTGATCTTTCGTCAGATTGTGGTTCGGAATAGAATTATTTAAAAGGGCAGTTTTGATTGATTGCCCATTATAAGTTTATTTCGTCGCTGTTCTTGTTTGTAAAAGATAGTATTACGTAAAGCCTGTAGTATCTCGTTAGTGCTATGGAATGACGTTTAAAAATGAATTTTAGTGTTGTTGAAAGCTTATCGGTGCCCTCTCAACATTTGTTAGTGCTATTATTTGGTACATTCTATATGATCTCAGAGTCGTCTGATATCTTCGGTACGAAGATGACACCGGAAGCTATTGGCATATCAGTTGCACCATCATTATTTCATACGTGTATTCATGACGGACAAAGGGTGTGTAGGATTTTTACTTCAGTTCTTATGCTGTCTCCATGAGAATATTTGACATTTGAGACGAATATAGAACTTAGAATTTTGCTATAAGTGATTGCATTTTTCAAAAAATTTGTTTGGGATTCATTGACATCAGATGCTTTGATGAATGGCTCAATTTGAAGGCGAAAATGGAGGATGTGATGCGATTTAAAATTGCCTCAGAAGTGATCTCGAAAATTATTCAAAATTTTGGTTATTCGAATCTTTTTCCACGTGACTGTTACGAATTTTATGCACGTATTACGGGTCGTACATTGCGTGTTGACGAGAATGACTCGAGGTTCCGATTCACACCGCCGACAAGTTAGTTATTTTCGTTGATTTTTATGGTGACAGTGCTGAGGTCATGGCTCTTCTTACATCTTTTTTTAATGCTTCGTTCTTCTTGTTCGTTTAAGTGAATGAACTTTTTGTCGTCATCCTGTTGATATGCTGATAGAAATCATCTTCTTACTGCTCTCTATATATATACTGCTAAATCATTGCGCGATGATGAATTCTCATTCAAAAAGAAGAGTCGATAGACAGTTACTAGTTATGATCACAAGAATGAATATATCTCTAAGAAGAGTCAATTTTTTATGGATTTCTAATATTTCTATATTTGAAAGCAACCGTTGTTTGTTTGCAAAGCACTATTATTTATGTCACAGACAGCTGTTGTAGCAGTAGCAGTTAAGATGAAAAGGAATTGTTCATGAAGCAGTTTTAAGTACACGATTTGATCTTTCAAGGATATATTATCTGTTTCATGTTACGCGTTTGCTGCTGAGCATACCAAAACTTTGCATTATTTGTAGGCGTTACTCGATGATCCATTATTTTCCATCTTTCCTGAATGTTAGCAAATAACAGCAAATTTTGTTGTCTTTCGCATATACTGTTTCAAAATACTGTCTTCAGATTCAGCAGCAATTTAAAAATCCGGATAAAATTTCATCATTGTCAAAATCAGCTGCAATTCTCCAGCTTTTTAAAAACTTCAACCTTTGTTTTAAAAAAGAAACTGCTAGAACAAATGGTTGAAGTGTGGCGAAAGTGTTCTATTATTCTGTTTCTAAATGAATATCTGAATTGTTTAGTTTTATTATACTTTTTTCCTCGGATTGTGGACAGGAAGCAATAGCATTTAATACCAAGCCGATGTGATCGTATTCACATCGTTTCAGTTGATTTTTTATCCGTCTTAGCAGGCTCTTTTCCAATCTTGCTTTGTTATTTTGTTCTTATTTTCTTTTCGACTGAATGAAACTTGTTTGGAGCGTTCTTTTCAGTTCAAAAATAATTTTTAAAAGAGATACAGAATTTAAGATTCTCGCGAAAAAAGCACTAAATTCGGCACTATTTCGTTGTTTCTTATCATTTTGACATTTGTCTGGAATTAATAAACAATATCCTGTTGAATATTTTTTCATTTCAGTTTCTTTTTTGTTTGTTTTTAGAAGTGAAAGAAAGTGATAATATGCGTACGAGCAGACTGATGAGCAGTTATTTTTTGGCCAGTTTTTGTTTTGTTTCCCTATCACCTTTAATGATACGTGAAATTTGAAATAATTTTACCGAATTAACGAATGAATTCTCCTCCCCAATAATCTCCTTGCTTATAACACCAGTTTTTGCTCTTAACACTCATCAACTCACCAATTCACAAATGTATTGATTGTTTGTTTGATAAGTGGTGCCTAACTGCGAATGGAATAATGTTTCTGATGAGGACAGTAACGTAATAGCGGTGTTTGTTTGCGTATAACGATGAGTGCAGTCAGCTTATACGAGTTCAACGAGTACAAGCGACACTTTTCGTTCTTTTGAGTATGTTCGGAACATTTTGGGAGCAAAAGTTCATGTGTGCGTATTTGTATATGTTTACCTGAAATATTTTTGATGCATTGAAGTGCAGATATTCACTAGTGAATAACCTTCCAAGTTCAACCAGATCAGAGTTGATTTTAGAGACAAATTTATCTTAACATTTTCGCAGATTTTGTTATTAGTTCGTCCAAAATAATCATCTAGGCAAACCGATAATTTAGAAAGCTGTTAGAAAGGTAAAACGAATCGAAAGCAGTGGGCGATGGTCAGAATTAGTTTCAGATTTGAGTTTTCTTTTAGTTTTGCATCAAAGGATGGTATCGAAAATTCCGTGTACCTAAATTTAGGTCGGAAGCCGAGTAAGAATTTTGGCGAGAGAACATCATATTTGATCTTGAACGAAGGAATTTTAGAATCTCTAGGCCGATCGCAGCGAAACTAAGGGGATTTTGTTAAACACTGAAATCCTCGTAACATTAGCAAAAAGGTATGGAGCACATATGGTACGAGTGGTATAAGTATGATAATATGTTTTTATAAAAGTAATGAGTTAGTGCTAGTATGTTCGTCTGCAAAGTTCAACAATAGGAAGGTGCGAGGAATTTACCTTCCCTTTACTTATTCAAAAATATTTGATTTTCTAATGCACTCTTATTTCTGGTACCACTATTGTACGCTGCAGTGAGGTTACTGAAAGCGTGTTGACGTTTTTTAAACTCGTAAAAGGAATTTTCATTGGTCAGATCAGTTGTAGTGAAAAATTTTATCGTTTTGCTTTCTTGCTTCCTATTTTTCCATGCTTTAAAATTTGGTTGGTGTTACTTTGTAATTTGAGTTTTCAATGTTTCAGTGTTATTCAGTTTTGTGACTGCAGTGTGTGTGTGCGTGTGTGTGTGTGTGTGTGTGTGTGAATATATACATATGTTTCTGTTTCAAGATGCAGTTCGATGATCACCTTAATTTTACTAGTTTTTCAGTGTTAATTTTATTGCTTAGTGTTTAGTTCCATTACAAGTTGGAATTATTCAAATTTTGTCCCTCTCCTTTCCTTCGCACTTAATTATGTAATCAATGAACAAAGATTTGTTTCTAAAATTTGAGGGCAGCAGAATCGTGAAGGAATTATTTTGCGTAACTTGAACTGTGTTTTAGTGCACTTGCGTGTGTTCTTTCACTATTAATTTAACTTGATTTTCGTTTCTGTTTTGATTTTTTCATTTATTTTTATGCTTTAATTCTTTTCGCTAGATTAATGCAACCGATCAACCAGACAGATAACTGTTTTCTTATAACTCAGTTAAATAATAATCCATAAAATGATTAATTCAATCAATGCACCCAACCAATCGGTTTTGTTATTTAGATACCAACAAAGGGCCAATGCCTCCACCAAGCGCATTCACGAGGATGGCCGTAAGATGTGCAGGTAGTTATTCAATGGATGCGGTAACGAATGTGGACGACGATAGAGATGATAGCATTGTTGATCTCATTCATCAGCGTCATTCAATCTCAAACAGAGCTACTGCTGCTGGTGCTGATGCAAACGCACCGGAGCAGCGATTTTTCGGTGGGAGTTGTAATGAGTTTTATGAGGAAGTGTTATTCAGTGCCACACACGATGTTGATATTATTGCTTCTGGAGGGCAGGTTGGAGCAGTTGGTTGTGGAAGAGTCCGAGGGCGATCGTTTGTAAAGTTGAATCGACAGCAGTGCCAGAATAGTGAAAATGAAATGAGTTTTGTTGATTGTTCAGCGAACCTTCCCTTACCCAAACAGCGAGCACAAACACGAGCGCAGTCACGACTTCAGCAATGCGTCATCGCTTATCCAGCTTATTGTGATCGTGGTATTGATAAATCTAAATTCATTGCGAACGAAAATCATTTTGTTGGTTGTATTGATTGTCGTGATTGTGAATTTGATGCTGATAATTTTATTACATCAAATACAACCACAACTTCAGGATCAGGTTTATCACAGCAGCCCGAGTATATCAATAGTAGAATGGAGTCAACAGCAGCTCATCGTAGAACGCAGTATCCTTCGTCGGGTATTCGTTATGGTTATGATCATGCATACGAATGTGATGATGTGGGGAGTGGTGCTGCATGCGGGCCTCATATTGCTTTTGCTAATGCTGCTTATGCTGTTAATGATACCAGTAGTATTCCTAAGGCTCTTACTAATTCGATTAGTAATCATCATGAGAAACTATGTCGTTTTTGTGATGATCTCGAATTGCGTCAATCAGCTAGTTGTGATTTTTAATTGGTTCGTTTTTGTTGTGAATGGTTTCATTTCGATTTCATTTGTTTCCCATACGGTTGGCTAACTCAACAAATAATCTACCTTTCGGACTGGATTTTACTTTACTTCTCAATTTTTGTCTTTACTTGCAATGAAATTTGATCACACCGAGTAAAGACAAACCCTTTTAATAGGGAACCTTCCGTCTTCCTTAAACCTTCATTATTAATTGCAATCGTAGATCACTGTCTAGCTTATTAAATCAGTGGTATTACCCATCGTTTGTGTCTAAAAGTGATCTTCAGTTCCCTTGAGTTCATTCAGAGGTGTCAATTGTTTATTTGCTTCATCAGTACATCTCTGCTTCATTAATTTTGCAACTTTTGTCTCCGATGTCATTTGGTTTATGCATTATTTATTTTATTTTGTTCAGTTTTCAGTTCATTTAATATAATCCATTTCAAAAATAACCTTCACACATTTATCAAGATTTTGGAAATTGTTAAAGAAGGGTCGCAAACTGAAGTTTGGCTTATAAGATGATCTTCGGATAAATCTTATTGTACTGATTCCAAATCTGTTACGTAAAATTACGAAACGATTTCTGATTAATGGGATTGTGAATGATGATCTCAATAAGATTTTGACTTTTTTTTCAGCTTTTTCGGTTCATTGACGTTGTTTTGAATGAAGGGAAACTTTTTTGCAATGATTCAAAGTTGTTAAATTGTAGGAATTTGCTATACTGCAAGTTCTTGTCAAAAATGATTTTGCGAGGAAGAATAAGTGTATCATAATCATGTTAAAGTTCAATCAGGCGTTATTCACTTCGTGTGCTTTTAACTTGTATGAAATGTCTGTTCATATGTGCGTTTTTTGATGAAAATTATTGGTCAGTTATCGATTTTGAACAGATAGACAAATATCTGAAGTGTAGAGTAACTATATTAGTTTAATTCTTGTAGCACTTGCCTTTTTTTAGTAATCTTCACCATTGTTTAATATGATCAATTTACAGACATATCAGACATGTTATCCAGTTCATGTATAGCTCAGTGACTTTTATATCATTTTCATGTTTGCGTTATCTCCATTCCGTCGACCTTTGTTCTAACTCTTCCTCTTGATTTTTGAATGCAAGAGATTACATTTTCGCATTCCTTCTTCAACTCTCTTCCTCCCTCTATTTCCACATATCATTTGTGCGTTAATACTTAAATTATTTTGACTTTTGAAATCTCATCCT